CCCCGCCTCCCCCATCCCTTGCCCTCCGCCCCCCCCCCCACCCAGTGCCCTGCCCTATACAATCATTTAAATACAACATGGACATTTTCCTTTGAATTTCCCAATATCCAAAACCCAAACATTTCTACAGTTAAGGACCTGAGCAATGCTGGGTATTTCTGCTACAATTCAATGAACAAATTGCAAATGGACCCAATAAGGCAGTGCAGCCTAAGAAATGCCTGTGAACCCTGGAAAGTAAACTCAGCTGAGTAAGGCCCTACCAAATTCACAGACCATTTTTGGCCAATTTTACAGGCATAGGATTTTTAAAATAATACATTTCATGATTCAATTAAAGGGAGCCGGAATAGCTCCAAAAAGGCTTTGGGGGGAGTCACAATGTTATCGTAGTGGGGGCAGTGGCACTGCTACCCTGCTGGGGCGGTGCTGTTTTCGGAGATGGGCAGCTAGGGAGTGGTGGTTACTGGCTGGGAGTCTATTGTGAAGGAAGAGCTGCTGCCAGCACAGGAGGGTGGCTTGGTATGGAATTGCCACCCTGACTTCTGTGCTGCTACAGGCAGGGCCCCGCCCTCAGAGCTGGGTGCCTAGCCAACGGCTGCCACTCTCCAGCTGCCCAGCTCTGAAGGCAGCACAAAGGAGTGGCAATACCACAACCCTAAAATAATCTTGCAACTCCCTTTGAATCAGGATCCCAAATTTGAGCACCACTGCTCTGCTCTGTGAAATACGTATGTAGGGTAAAATCATATCAAATACCAGACGTCATTGTCTGTGATGCATTCCCCACGGCCTTGAATAAGATCCTATAGAGGAGGAGCTCAGCATGAACACAATACTACATTGCCTCTCACAGTTTCAAGGCTGGGGAATAGCCCGCTAAGCACACATTCCCCCTTACTTCATTTTGCCATTTGTATTCGCTGAGCACTAAGTACTTGGTGCTGTGCAGGCCACAGGGACAAACGCAGCCTCTGCCCAGACGGGCTTACGGTCCAAGGTGACAAATGTGTCCGTCGATTAACATATGGGCCCAGGCTGCCTTGTGTTGCAGAGTTTTGCCTGGTGAGTGTTTTGTGATCTCATAGCTCTGTGATGAGAGGGTGAGTGGTTAAGAATGATGAGTGCAGGGAAGATGTGTGTTCCAAATAGGGATGTTAAATGTCGATTAATTGAATAGTCGAGTAACCTCATGAATTCTTATTGGTCAGTCGACTATTCTATAGTCCCCGGGGGCAGGGCCAGCAGCCTGTGTGCTATAAACCCCCAAGCCTCACTAATGTGGTCTCAACTGTGATAGTGGGGGCAGGGGACAGGGTGCTGGTGTGTGCTGGGGCTGGGAGAGGGTGCTGCTGGGTGCTGGGCTGGGTGGCAGGATGCTGGCACAGGTGACCGGGTGCTGGGGCAGGATGCTGTGGACAGTACTGGTGGGGACAGGGGACAGGGTACTCGTGGGGGGGTCTGGACAGGGGCAGGAGCAGCTGGGACCAGTACCTGGCAATCCTGCAACACCTCTAGGTTCTGGGAAGTGTGCGACTGCACTTCCCCTCCCCAAACAGCTGGCGCACGCGATGCCTGAATAGCAGGGGCTGTTGCACCCCAGCAACTTACTTCCGCGATGCCTTCCCGAGGGGGAGAAAGGGTGCGGGGAGTCCCAGGGCAGAGTCCCAGGGAGATCTCCTGACCTCCCCTCCCCCTCTCCCCCCACCGCACAGAAAGGCTGTGGAACTAAGTTGCTAGGTGCCACAGCCACAGCTGTTCAGGCAGCGCATGCCGGCTTCTTTGGGAAGCGGAAGTGCTTCCCTCCCCGCTGTGGGTCATGTGGGGTCACTCCTGTCTGGCACCCCCCAGTATGCCGAATGGGAGCAACTGTTCCCCTCTGCCCCCACTCGCTATGCCTCTGCGTCGCCAGGGAGGAACAGAAAACAAGTGTGCTGTTTCTTTAAGAAGTTGACTAGCTGGCTCTCTCTCTTTCAGAGGGGCAGGGGAGTGCCAGCTCCTCGCGGAACCCCTACTTTCCCTTCGCAGAACCCCAGAGTTCTGCAGAGCACCAATTGGGAAACATTGACCTATAGGCTTTTGCTTATCAGTTAATCGACTACCCTATCACATCCCTACTGCCAAGGGGAGGTGTGAGACTTGCCTGGTGTGTGGAACTTGTTCAGTTTAGTGTTCTTCTCTGAGCTCTGGATCCATTCTTAATTCTCTGAGGGAACGAGGAAGGGGCAAAGAGGAAAGAGATTTGGCTTGTGTTAATTCCTTACTTTGCCGTGTTTTTCAATCTCTGCAGGTGTTCTGGATTCGCTCCTTGCCGATCCCTCACTGATCCTACTTACAGTGGGAATCCTGATATTTGGCATCACCTTTGTGGGGTGTACAGGAGCCTTGCGTGACCTGCCTGTGCTGTTGAAAATTGTAAGGAAAAGCTAACAGAATGATGTCTTCTATCTGTAGGGATCTCTGTTCCTTGGGCTGCCCTTATTAAGCATCTTCCTGCCTAAGAGACTGCCTCAAAGAGTGGATTGTGAACATGCGCCACATTCCTTAGAAGATCATCTTTTGTCAGTATCTTAAGTAGAAGCTGACGGGGACACCAGAAGTACTAGTGAGTTAGTGAGCTAGCAGGCTAATAGCTCACCAACTGCAGGAACAGCAAGGATAGTTTATGTAAAAATCAGTGAATTCCTGATCAGACTGAATGCAGGTTTGCCATTGTGATTCATAGTTTTTGTTCGTCACCTGTCTCTTTGGCTGCATGTCCAAACATTTGCCATTTGCCATTTACTTGCCCATCAGAATCCACAGTTGTTTCCCTTATGAGAATTTAAAAATGTTGCATTCCTCCAGGTGTGGGTATGAGGTTATATCAGGTATAATTTACTTGCAAATTAGGGGGTGCAGGCATGTTACATCACTGGAATGCAGGTGCCTAGCCAACAGCTGCCACTCTCCAGCTGCCCAGCTCTGAAGGCAGCACAAAGGAGTGGCAATACCACAACCCTAAAATAATCTTGCAACTCCCTTTGAATCAGGATCCCAAATTTGAGCACCACTGCTCTGCTCTGTGAAATACGTATGTAGGGTAAAATCATATCAAATACCAGACGTCATTGTCTGTGATGCATTCCCCACGGCCTTGAATAAGATCCTATAGAGGAGGAGCTCAGCATGAACACAATACTACATTGCCTCTCACAGTTTCAAGGCTGGGGAATAGCCCGCTAAGCACACATTCCCCCTTACTTCATTTTGCCATTTGTATTCGCTGAGCACTAAGTACTTGGTGCTGTGCAGGCCACAGGGACAAACGCAGCCTCTGCCCAGACGGGCTTACGGTCCAAGGTGACAAATGTGTCCGTCGATTAACATATGGGCCCAGGCTGCCTTGTGTTGCAGAGTTTTGCCTGGTGAGTGTTTTGTGATCTCATAGCTCTGTGATGAGAGGGTGAGTGGTTAAGAATGATGAGTGCAGGGAAGATGTGTGTTCCAAATAGGGATGTTAAATGTCGATTAATTGAATAGTCGAGTAACCTCATGAATTCTTATTGGTCAGTCGACTATTCTATAGTCCCCGGGGGCAGGGCCAGCAGCCTGTGTGCTATAAACCCCCAAGCCTCACTAATGTGGTCTCAACTGTGATAGTGGGGGCAGGGGACAGGGTGCTGGTGTGTGCTGGGGCTGGGAGAGGGTGCTGCTGGGTGCTGGGCTGGGTGGCAGGATGCTGGCACAGGTGACCGGGTGCTGGGGCAGGATGCTGTGGACAGTACTGGTGGGGACAGGGGACAGGGTACTCGTGGGGGGGTCTGGACAGGGGCAGGAGCAGCTGGGACCAGTACCTGGCAATCCTGCAACACCTCTAGGTTCTGGGAAGTGTGCGACTGCACTTCCCCTCCCCAAACAGCTGGCGCACGCGATGCCTGAATAGCAGGGGCTGTTGCACCCCAGCAACTTACTTCCGCGATGCCTTCCCGAGGGGGAGAAAGGGTGCGGGGAGTCCCAGGGCAGAGTCCCAGGGAGATCTCCTGACCTCCCCTCCCCCTCTCCCCCCACCGCACAGAAAGGCTGTGGAACTAAGTTGCTAGGTGCCACAGCCACAGCTGTTCAGGCAGCGCATGCCGGCTTCTTTGGGAAGCGGAAGTGCTTCCCTCCCCGCTGTGGGTCATGTGGGGTCACTCCTGTCTGGCACCCCCCAGTATGCCGAATGGGAGCAACTGTTCCCCTCTGCCCCCACTCGCTATGCCTCTGCGTCGCCAGGGAGGAACAGAAAACAAGTGTGCTGTTTCTTTAAGAAGTTGACTAGCTGGCTCTCTCTCTTTCAGAGGGGCAGGGGAGTGCCAGCTCCTCGCGGAACCCCTACTTTCCCTTCGCAGAACCCCAGAGTTCTGCAGAGCACCAATTGGGAAACATTGACCTATAGGCTTTTGCTTATCAGTTAATCGACTACCCTATCACATCCCTACTGCCAAGGGGAGGTGTGAGACTTGCCTGGTGTGTGGAACTTGTTCAGTTTAGTGTTCTTCTCTGAGCTCTGGATCCATTCTTAATTCTCTGAGGGAACGAGGAAGGGGCAAAGAGGAAAGAGATTTGGCTTGTGTTAATTCCTTACTTTGCCGTGTTTTTCAATCTCTGCAGGTGTTCTGGATTCGCTCCTTGCCGATCCCTCACTGATCCTACTTACAGTGGGAATCCTGATATTTGGCATCACCTTTGTGGGGTGTACAGGAGCCTTGCGTGACCTGCCTGTGCTGTTGAAAATTGTAAGGAAAAGCTAACAGAATGATGTCTTCTATCTGTAGGGATCTCTGTTCCTTGGGCTGCCCTTATTAAGCATCTTCCTGCCTAAGAGACTGCCTCAAAGAGTGGATTGTGAACATGCGCCACATTCCTTAGAAGATCATCTTTTGTCAGTATCTTAAGTAGAAGCTGACGGGGACACCAGAAGTACTAGTGAGTTAGTGAGCTAGCAGGCTAATAGCTCACCAACTGCAGGAACAGCAAGGATAGTTTATGTAAAAATCAGTGAATTCCTGATCAGACTGAATGCAGGTTTGCCATTGTGATTCATAGTTTTTGTTCGTCACCTGTCTCTTTGGCTGCATGTCCAAACATTTGCCATTTGCCATTTACTTGCCCATCAGAATCCACAGTTGTTTCCCTTATGAGAATTTAAAAATGTTGCATTCCTCCAGGTGTGGGTATGAGGTTATATCAGGTATAATTTACTTGCAAATTAGGGGGTGCAGGCATGTTACATCACTGGAATGCAGGAAAGTGTGTGTGATATGCTTGGAGACTGCATGTTGCTTGGAGTGAATGGAATCCAATGTGGCTGAAAGAGGTTTAGGGTGTGTTCTCTTTAATTTTCAAATACAGAAATTCCCCCTTGACAGGATTTAACATGTTCCAGTGATACAAAAAGAAAGGTTCCTTCTTTGTGCCAGCTAATGTTTATCACTATAGCTGGGAAAATACGCGCCCCCTTCAAACAGTGTCTTGGAATATTGGCTTCAATCTTGCTTTTGTGTCATGTGCTTCTGAGCCAGCTTTCTGAGCCATCGTCATGCTCACCAACTTTTGCGTGAACAGATTTCAAAGTGGCCTGTGTGACGCTTGTGGCGAGTTGAATCATAAAGGACCCCTTGGGATTGTGACCCGGTGTGCCGGTTTGTGTACTTTTTTCCAATTGTTTTTTCAGAAGAGGCTTTTCCAAAATTTGGCCCATCTACACTGGGCCAAATTTTGGAAAATCCTCCTCTTTCGGAAGGGCCCTTCTTCCTCATGGAAGGAGGAAGACAGGGCTTCCAAAAGAGCGCATCTGCTCTTCTGCAAAAGAAAGTGGAAGAGCAGACGCATTCCCTGGATGTGGTGGAGTTTTTCCGGGATACCGTAGTCTAGACGTAGCCCCAGTCCTGCTAGGCCAGAAGCTCTGGTCTCCCCCAGATAAAACACAGAGTTGGGGCTGTCAAGGCATAGAGGCAGGGCCCAACAGGGCTGTGGATTCACTTTAAGACAGAGTCGATTAGGGATAGATAATTGCTTTCATTAATTTCACCACGTCATTACTATTACAGGCTTAATACTGGCAGATGGTTACACAACTACTGCGCAAAGCAATACAAATCTCACTCCGGCAAAGCGCTGCATATAAAAGTAACAGGCACTTGGAAATGCTTGTGCCCGTTTAGTCTGGCGGAGAGTCCCACTCCCGTCACCTCTCACCAGGTTCCAGCTGTGAGACCCAGGGCACCTTCGGAGGTTCAGGTCTCTGGTGGAACTCAATAGGCACAGACTTCCTACACTAGGGCTATGTCTAGACTGGAATGATTTTCCGCTAATGCTTGTAATGGAAAAGTTTTCTGTTAACAGCATTTGCGGAAAAGAGCGTCTAGATTGGCACGGATGCTTTTCCGCAAAATGTGCTTTTTGCGGAAAAGCGTCCATGCCAATCTAAATGCAGGACAATGTAGCACTTTAAAGACTAACAAGATGGTTTATTAGATGATGAGCTTTCGTGGGCCTGACCCACTTCCTCAGATCAAATAGTGGAAGAAAATAGTCACAACCATATATACCAAAGGATACAATTAAAAAAAACACGGATGCTTTTCCGCAAAATGTGCTTTTTGCGGAAAAGCGTCCATGCCAATCTAAATGCAGGACAATGTAGCACTTTAAAGACTAACAAGATGGTTTATTAGATGATGAGCTTTCGTGGGCCTGACCCACTTCCTCAGATCAAATAGTGGAAGAAAATAGTCACAACCATATATACCAAAGGATACAATTAAAAAAAATGAACACATATGAAAAGGACAAATCACGTTTCAGA